CCAGAGCGGCTAAGCGATTTTGTTCCACACCTAGAATCAAAGCCTTTTGAGCTCCGTACTCCCTATCAGTCGCCAAGTAAAATGGCGAGTGCTCAACATGGCTACCTAGTTGGAAGGCTGGACTTTGCACACCGGTGTTGTCTGCACCCACGCACCACACATCCTGCCTGATTCACTGGCCTGTCAATCAATTGTATTGAAAGCTTTCGGTCCGGATCTCGCCACTGCATGACTCAGTTACAACCAGTTATGACCAGTAGCTTTGGACGTCATCTTCGCTTTGGACGTCAACATCGCTCCAGCAAAGCGGAAAAGCCTTGAAAGTATTGCTAAAACATGTATGGCAGCTATCTGTCATGTTCAAAGCAAGACCAGCATGTCCAGTAGTTCATAGCTATACCAGCATGTCCAGTAGTTCAAAGCTAGACCAACATGTCCAGTAGTTCAAAGCTAGACCAACATGTCCAGTAGTTCAAAGCTAGACCAACATGTCCAGTAGTTCAAAGATAGTCCAACATGTCCAGTAGTTCAAAGCTAGACCAACATGTCCAGTAGTTCAAAGCTAGACCAGCATGTCCAGTAGTTCATACTATACACCCTCCATCAGGTCAGCGTCCTTTTCATCCCAGCCAACGCCCTTAACAGTATTAGTAACGAGTCATGCTCACACACTCGGATTGCTCCCAAATTATCTGCCAGAACAACAACTTTGGCCCCAGTATAAGTCCTGCTGCTTCCACTATAACCACTCTCGATAACTGTGCTCCAAGACTGGTACAAAAGCCTTTAACACTTCCCAGTAAGATCATAAACTCCTTTGTTTACCCTCAGAAGTAACCTTACACACTTCCACTTTTCGCTCACTTTTGAATGTTGCCCGTTTTTTGTCCTTCCTATGTATCGACTTAGACTCATATTTTCATGAATTATTCTGCATGGCTTGAATCATGGGTTTATTGTCAGCTTCTAATTTACCTTTCCAGCAAATGTCACTTCTCTGAATCTCTCTTCTGCTGCCACACACGCTTAGCTATATCTGACCATTTCACTACCCCATGTAATCACAGGGGAGACTAAGTCTTCCTTACTTCACCCCTATTATTTTTATGCATTGTAATGTTCAGGCGTTGGTGCAGTGCCAAAGAAGAATGGAAAGATGCGCATGATTCACCTCATGTCCAGGCCACTTGGGAATAGTTTCAATGACGGTATGCCTATCATAGTATGGCTGGTATATGGTACCATTCAGCACACTGACTTACTTCGGATATCAACATTACTTCCACCATCCAGTGCGACTCTTTTTCTCAGCACAGCCTCGAGTCCCTTATGGTGAAGCTCTCCTCTGCAGCACGTTGGGTTGTGCCGGGCCGTAAGTTTTCACAATGTCTCTGGTCTTGTTGCAGCAGGTATCAAAAGCCTCTCAACAAGATACAGTAAACCCTGACCTAACCGGACACCCTTGCTGCAGCCAAAACCATCATGATATATCAGAATTCCGCTTGATCCAAGGATGCACGTTTGATCCAAAGTACTTTGGTGCAGAAACATCCGGTCAATACAAGATTCAGCTTCGGACAAGGTCGGGAAAACACAGGTTGTACTGTAGCTCTTACCTCTGATGCTATGGAAGATATCAGGTGGTAGCAGCATCTGCTGCAACACTGGATTGGTAAATCATTCTTCCTGCATTCCGACTGGCCTCCATTGCCAAATCTACAACTATAATAATTATGTGGATGCAAGTGGTTCTCGTGTCTGGGAAGTCTACAGGAATGTCTGTCTGCCGTATGCTTTGCCAATTGTTTACACCACCAGGTACCATGATGAGGCAAAGCTATGTACAGTGTATCCTCATTCACTGCACTAATGAAGTAGTTGTAGATTATGTGAAGTCGGACTGTAGCAAATCATCCCCAGCGATGCAACTTCTCCTCATTGGCAGAGAGGAGACCTTTATGAGAACGAAGAGAAATTAAAATACAGTTGAAACGATAGGAATGAACATTTGTCTCTGCCAAACACAACTTTACTATTCAGCCACCCAAATGTCACGGAGAAGGAACTTGACTGCCGAGTCTTTGTCACGTTTCTTTAGAAAGGCATCTTGGTAGCTCACTCCGGTGCGAAGAACCTACCGGACGATGTGATCTTGCCCCGATATATATTATGGGGAAGTAAGCTAGTATGCTGGATGTGTTATATCTTCTAATGCAGGACACACCTATTCGACTGGCGATATACACACGCTCCCGCTCGCACACCTGTGCATACAAAAATTTCCAACGCACATGCACTCACAAGCAATTGATATGTTGTGTTGAGTGTTATAATCACTTCCTTATGGAGAGGGATGTTAGAAGAATATGCTCAGTGCAGTTTCCAAGTTCGAGGGAAGTTGTGAACGGAAAACCAGTTAGCAGTATAATGTTTTGGACATAATAGTATTTGATTATAGACTGGCTCTAAGGAAGCAATCGATAACTGTTGCACCATGGTATCATCACATAATTATTATGATCTTCAGTGATTCCCACCGCCCACCGAGAGCCGACACACAAATGGCCCCAAAGGGCTAGCCCACAGCTGTCCACCATGGTCCAATCACACGAGCGGCCATATAGGCCGACAGGCAGCCCACCAAGCACTAAATGATCCTGTCAGCACCAGGCTGCTAGCATACTGCCCACCTAGGGGGCACAAATGGCCGACGCTGCCAGCAACCTGCCCACCAAGGGTGCATGGATGGCCTTTGAGGCCAACAACCTGCCCACCGACAGCTAAAGCAACCTGCTCACCGGGTACTAACACATTCACCCTACCGAGCGCTGAAGCAAACTGCCAAGGGGGGCTAACATGTACACCCCATTGAGGGCTAAAGCAACCTGCTCACCGGAGGCTAACACATGCTTCCTCCATGTCATTAAAATTGTCACTTCACACATCACAATGTTTGCGGCTTGCTCGTCTTAGTCGAACTTTCGGAATCGATGTTTTCTGTGTTTGAACATTGGAGCCACCCTTCCTGAGCAATGTCTACTTGTCATTGAAGCCATAGTGGTCTCGGACTTTGTCCGAGCTCTCTTCCGCACTAAATATATTCATCGCGCTCTGCACTATTCTGCCCCAGAGCACATATCTTTTTTTCTGGAGTTCTTGCCCTTCCATATAGTTTGCGTGGGCATTTATCAAGACTGCAAGCTCGGGTATAAGAATCCTGGTATCTCTCCAGAATTCGAAATGCTGAAGTTGGAGATGTCAAGAACAAATTGTTCTCAATTTCCTAAAAAAACACGACGTGTGCCGCATGTTGCTGTGAAGGTAGCATATCTGAAAACACCAACAAAATCAGCAAAGCACTTTCCAAGAAAAGAAGGTGCGGAACTGCTTACCCAATCCCGCTGGAAGGTCGTTACAGTGTACTTGAAAAATGCTAGTTTGCCGTCATCGCCTGCCAGCTGGAGTCATGGATGGTTTGAAAACGAAGTCTCATGACCTGAATTTGAACGTGCGTCTTGTTCAGTGTATCGCTGAGTGCAGAAGGGTCTGCCTCAAACTCTGATGAAGATGTCGACCTTATCTGTAAGTGCAGCAAAGACGGGAGGCCAAAACTAAAGCTTGGTCTGTCTACAATGCTCTGCCTCAGTTTCTAGCTGATTTCTTTTCACGTTGAGTGGACAACATAAATTTGAAAAATCGCTCTGGGAAGCAATAATTTTAATGACGTGGAGGAAGTACATTCCATTGAGGGCTGAAGCAACCAGCTCACCAAGAGCTATCACATACATCCCATTGAGGGATGAAGTATACTGCCCCCCCCCCCCCCCAGGTGTAACACATACACCCACCAAGCGCTGAAGCATACTGCTTGCTGGGAGACGATCATGTACCGTCCACCAACGGCTTATGTGTACTGCCTGTACGGACTATCTAGAGCCAAGGAATAGCTCCTGACACCCACAACCTTCCCACCAAGGGCTAAAGCATACTGGCCCCAGCACCAATCTCGTACCGCCCAGTGTGTGCAAACGAACGACCAACGGGGCTAAGAATTCTCCCACCTAGGGCTCACATAACTACCTGGCATGAGGAGTCGCACCACACACATACAACAATCCTGACGCCCGCTTGCATTCCCACGTCCATTCGGGAAGAAAACAAGGTGGCAAATGAATGAAAGAGCAGAGACAAAAAAAATCGAGACGGTGGGATGGCGGGGAGAAGTAAAACATAATTTCAGCAAATCAAGAAAGAAACTAAAATTTAGGACAGCTCCTTCATGTCCAGACAGGTTTTGAGAAATTCAAGACATATCTGTCGAATTGAAATCATAAAAAATGCCCGTAAAAATTGGCCAACTTCGGTTTTTTCGACAACCGGTGGCATGGGCAAGCAATCTGCCTCGCTTTACAAGCGTATTGCATCCCTCATTGCTGAGAAAAGCAGCGAACCGTATTCGGTTGTCATAGCATTCATCCGCTGCCGCCTTAGCTTTGCTTTGCTCAGAGCAAGTGCTATGTGCCTGCATGGTAACTGCTCTGTTTTCGCTGTGCATGCACCTGTCTCTTCTTCTGCCTCTCTAGTTGTTGCCGAAGCTGGCACTTCCTGTCATTAATATTGTAGTCTTTAGTTCTTTAATATCAGTATTTGTCATGGCGACTCCATTACACACTTTGTAGCACGAATTGTAAAAATATTAAAAAAGTAGAAATTGTCCAACTTGTAAACTGGGCAGGGACAGCAATAATTATGACATACACTCACAGCACCAGCACTGTGCCTATAATACCCATGTGCGTGGGCAACTAAGCTTTCCTGTGCAAAGCCCACTTCTTTTCTAATTCGTGCAATTCTTGCATGAGTAACTGAGCTTATGTATGATGCAGACATACTGTATCATTCTGTGCTGGGAAACGTTTGAAATGTTAAAATGAAGTTTTGTCCATGCTGTTCTTTTCTGTTGGTGTATTGTGTTGTGATGTACATGTATGTACCTGTAGATCACCACACTGGATGGTACATACATACGTGATATAGGCAAACAGGGCAGTGGTAATGCCGAATTCAAATCGCCCACTGATGTAGCTGTGGATGGCGATGGTGATCTTGTGGTGGTTGACAAGAACAACAAGAGACTGCAGGTAAGATACATGATTGATTAGTGTGGTTCCACTTCTGTTTAATTACACAATGTTGACTGGAAGTTCAGTACAGATAGCAGTCTTCCGTTGTTCACATAGTACTAGAGTGTACAGTATGATCATAGTACTAGAGTGTACAGTATGATCATAGTACTAGAGTGTACAGTATGATCATAGTACTAGAGTGTACAGTATGATCATAGTACTAGAGTGTACAGTATGATCATAGTACTAGAGTGTACAGTATGATCATAGTACTAGAGTGTACAGTATGATCATAGTACTAGAGTGTACAGTATGATCATAGTACTAGAGTGTACAGTATGATCATAGTACTAGAGTTGTAACAGGTTTAATCAAACTTGAAAAGTAAGAGGCCTGGTTGAGCGTGCCTCGACCAGTTATATGCAAAATGTGATAGTATACATGTGGCAATGGCGCCAATGAAGGTGCTAATAGACAGGCGTAGGGACGCATGAGGTGCGAGGGAGTGTAAAGTTATAGAGAACAGGGGAAAACTGTTACATCATCCCCTCCTATGGAGAGGAAGGAGCTTATAACCCAAATGCTCAAGTGGAATAGAGTACAATAAGCGCAAACACGTGCGAGACGAAAAAAGGCTTCGCACTGAAGTAACACAATAAGACGACTGAAACTCCATGCAAATAAAGTGTAATAAGCTCAACAAATGTGTAAGGTGAAACTAGAAGTTCAACTGCAAAACTCAGCGGGCAGAAGCCAAGGTTTTGTACTTCTGAAGTGGAACAATGTCATTACCAGATTCATCCAACAAATAATGTTCAGGCTCCCAAGTGGCATCAGAGTAGCCTTGCCACTTGACTAGGTACTGAAGCTGATTCTGCCGGCGGCGGTGACTGAGAATGTTCTCCACCACATAGCGGGCATGACCATCAAGGTCCGTGATAGACGGAGGCGTAGGCTGTCTCCTATTAGGAATAGCGTTCTTCTCGTAGGCACGGAGTGCCGACACATTAAATACCGGGTGACAGCGGCTGGTATGAGGCAACTTGAGCTTGTAGGCATTCGGGCCGACCACATGGGTTATAGGAAAGGGGCCAAACCACTTGGGGCGTAATTTATGGGATGGTCGGTCCCGAGCTTCAGGAGTCAGGAGGAAATCCCGGTAGACCATTACCAAATCTCCCACCTTCAGCTTTCCCTCGACCCTTGTCCGATCTGCATAGAAGGCCTGATGAGCTTGAGCTGCCACTAGCGCATCTTGTGAGATCTTGACCGCGTCTTGTCTTGCTTGCAACCAATCAGCTGAATCTCTGCCTCCCTGAATAGGGTTGAGGAAGTCGGGTGGCGCTCTGGGATTTAGACCGTAATTTAAGAAGAACGGTGTGTTTCCTGTAGATGATTGAGTAGCGCTGTTGATAGAAAACTCACAGAGAGGTAGGAGCATATCCCAGTTATCTTGTTTATGATTTACAAAAGCCCTCAGCACATCCTCTACTATCCTGTTTACTCGTTCAGTTAGGCCATCTGTCTGAGGGTGATTGGCAGTACTAAATGCTAGTTTCGTTCCTAAGCGATCAAACAATTCCTGAAAAAATGCTGCCGTAAATCTTGGATCACGATCACATACAATACTAGAACTCAAACCATGAAGTCGAAATACATGTTGAATATACAGATCAGCACTTCCTTTAGCGTCAATAGTAGAGGAAGTAGGTGCTAAATGTACACACTTTGTCAAGCGGTCTACAAATACATATATAGCATCATGACCTGTATCGGTCCTAGGCAAACCCATGATAAAATCCATCGAGATATCCGCCCACGGCTGACTGGGCACTGGTAAATTCTGCAAGAGACCAGTTTTTAGCTGGCCGCCTTTAACTCGTTGGCAGACGTCACATGACTTGACAAACGCCTTTACATCCAGTCCCATTCTGGGCCAATATAAATATCTAGAGAGTCTGAAATAGGTGCGATCTCGACCGGGATGCCCCGCAGTCACACAGTCATGGTATTCTTGAAGCAGGGCGAGTCGGAGTTTGCTACTCTTTGGAATGCATAACCTGTTCTGTGGTGAAGATCTGAGATAAAGATAACCGGGTGTTTCATTTAGAAGGTAACGGTCGTGCAGATTGTCATGGCTTGAATTTTTCAGTCTCCTGATAATGGGAGCAAGATCCTTGTCGCACTTGTAACCGCTGACAATTAACTGCGCTAAGTCTGGATTAATCTCTAGGGTATGCTCTATGGCATTCAACTGAATGTTAGGAGGATAGGATGACCCGCCTATTTCAGAATCACTGAACAGATCTGGACGGCGGGAAAGCGGGTCGGCAATGTTTTTCTTTCCTGGTTTGTGAAAGACCGTAAAGTCATAGTCAGCTAAAAACTCTACCCATCTTGCCTCACGCTTGGTGAGAGTCGGTTTGGTTCGTAAATAGACAACACCCATATTATCAGTCATCAGGTCAAAGTGGCAGAATAGATAGATTCTCCAGCACTTTAATGCAAATACCACAGCCAACGTTTCCCTCTCGGCCGCAGTATAGTTGCGTTCTGCAGCTGACAGTTTCCGACTACAATAGGCTACGGGATGCAAATCCATATCTTCTCCCTGCTGCAGGAGCACACCCGCCACGGCAAAGTCACTTGCGTCAGTTTCTACCATGAAGCTTTTCTCAACATCGGCCAGTTGCAACACTGGCGCCTCGAGTAATGCTGATTTTAGAGACTCGAATGCTTTCTGTCTAGCAGCGCTCCATTCAAAGCGTGAATTTTTTCCGGTGATTTCTTCTAATGGACGAGAGATGGTCGAGTGTCGATCTATGAACCTTCGGAAATAGTTTGCAAAGCCAAGAAACTTCCTCACATCAGTTACTGACGACGGAGTTGGCCATGTTTCCACAGCACTTATCTTCTTGGGATCAGGGGAAATTGATGTGCCGTTGATTTTATGCCCCAAGAAGAGAACTTCTCTCACGCCGAATTCGCATTTAGACTGTTTGCAATACAGCTCACTATTTCTAAGTGTTTCTAGAACTGTTTGAAGATGATGCTGATGATCTTCCCAGGTCTTGCTGAAAACTAGAATGTCATCCAAGAATACTACAACGAATTTTCGGAGATGCGGTTGCAGAATAGAGTTCATGAGTGACTGAAAGGTGGCCGGGGCATTAGTCAGCCCGAATCCCATGACTCTAAATTGGAAGTGGCCGAACGGCGTATTAATTAATGGCCGTCTTAGAAACATCCGAGTCTTGAATTCTGATTTGATTGTAGCCTGACCGCAAGTCCAACTTGGAGAAATATGCACTGCCCCGGATCGTGTCGAATAAGTGATCAATATTAGGAAGACAAGCTTTGTTTTTGATCGTAATTCTATTCAATTCTCGCCAATCGCACACCATTCTCAGAGTACCATCCGACTTTTTCACAAAAAACACAGGTGCACCGTATGGCGACTTACTTGGCTCAATGAATCCCTTCTCAAGTAATTCTGATAGCTGTGACTGGAGCTCGTCCATCTCTGGTTTCGGCAGGCGGTAGGCGGGTCGAGACGGTGGTCTGGCTCCATCTTCTATCTGGATTTCATGGTCGACTGGTCTCTTCGGTGGAAGCTCATTCGGCAGCTCGTCTGGAAATAAATCCTGGTACCTCTTGAGCAGGTTCTGGATGTCTTGTTGCTCTGATTCCTGGAGTTGTGGCCCGGAACGATTCTCCTCGTTTGCAGCAGTGACCCATGCAAGAAACCCCTCGGCTCCACTCCTCAGGGCATGACGAGCTTGTCGGCCACTGATAAACATGCTTTCCACAGATGGCCGGTCGGCTGTCGGCGGTTAGCTGAAGGCAATTTGGCAACGAAGGGCTCACCGTCCAACTGAACTTCGTTCGTACGGAAGTTGATGCTGGGGTTGTTCCTTGTAAGCCACGGCTTGCCAAGAATAGCGTCGTAGCGAGTCAGGGGATACACAGTAAAGTGCTGTTCCTCACTGAAGCCCCCGACTGTCACCCTTAGCGTGCGTGTGGAAATCTGCGGGACCTCGCTGGTCGAGCCGTCCGCCAATGTTACGCTCAGCACTGCTGTTCTTGCATCCGTGTCAAGATGATGCTTTCGAACAAAACTGTCTGCAATGAAGTCATGCGTCGAACCGGAATCTATCAGCATCACTGCACGGCGACCGCCGATCTTTCCCTGTATGCGCAGTAGGTCGTGTTCAGGTTCATTGCCGACGCTGACGTTGCTGACATGACACCTTTCTGCAACGGGACAATTTCCTACAGCTATGGGTGTCTCCGGCTCCGTAGGTTCCTGGAGAGCAACGTCTTCAACCTCCAGAGCTCCGAACCGGTTAGCGACTGGTACCGGCGTGGGCGCTTGGGTCGTCGCCAGTAAGCGCACCCCCTTTCTTACTGGCGACCAGCGTTTGGGTAGCGCTGTCCATCCTCGGTACAGTCTTTAGCGAGGTGGCCTGGCTTCCTGCAAGCAAAGCAGTGTCCCATTGCTCGCAGTTGGACACGCTCTTGGTCCGTCAGCTTGCGGAGGCCCTGACCACGGAAGCTGGGCACGGAACGCGACTCTCTACTGGCTGGTGGCCCCGACGCCGGTGGCCCTGACGACTGCTCCACGGTGTTTGCTGCCATGACAGCTTGCTCCAGGGTACGTGGATGCTCACGCATGACCTGTCGCTGGATGTGCGGCACTAGACCCCTGACGAACAGCAGCGCTCTGGTGTGGTGGCCGATTTCCGGCACTTGCAGGCTGAGGCGAGTGAAAGCAGCAATGTATGCGTCCAGCGACCCGCGCTGCGCTGCGGAAATTAGTCCCATACGCGATGTTTCCTCGTTGTGCCGTGGTCCGTACACATCGCCAAGTGCCGCTTTCAGAGCAGGCCAGTCGGAAAACACTTGGTTAGCTTCCAATGCCGCTATCAACCAAAGACGAGCGTTTCCAGTCAAAAATCCTGCCGCGTAGTCGACCCTCTGTGCCGCATTTGGGAGTGCCAACGACCGTAGGGCCATGTCCATTGCAAACGTCCATTCTTTGAATGTAGCGGAATCTCCTCCAAACACAGGCGGCTCTTTCGTAAGGCGGGGTGTTGGCTCCCACGGTTCCGAGTTCGGATGTATCGTTCGGTTTCCTTGGCTAACGCGCTGAGCGGTCTTGATATCGTTTATCAGCCGAACGACGAGTACGAGGAGCGTAAGCAGAGCGACCAGAACACCTGCCAAAAGCAGAGTAGTAACCATCCTCTGCTACCAGTGTAACAGGTTTAATCAAACTTGAAAAGTAAGAGGCCTGGTTTAGCGTGCCTCGACCAGTTATATGCAAAATGTGATAGTATACATGTGGCAATGGCGCCAATGAAGGTGCTAATAGACAGGCGTAAGACGCATGAGGTGCGAGGGAGTGTAAAGTTATAGAGAACAGGGGAAAACTGTTACAAGAGTGTACAGTATGATCATAGTACTAGAGTGTACAGTATGATCATAGTACTAGAGTGTACAGTATGATCATAGTACTAGAGTGTACAGTATGATCATAGTACTAGAGTGTACAGTATGATCATAGTACTAGAGTGTACAGTATGATCATAGTACTAGAGTGTACAGTATGATCATAGTACTAGAGTGTACAGTATGATCATAGTACTAGAGTGTACAGTATGATCATAGTACTAGAGTGTACAGTATGATCATAGTACTAGAGTGTACAGTATGATCATAGTACTAGAGTGTACAGTGTGATCATAGTACTAGAGTGTACAGTATGATCATAGTACTAGAGTGTACAGTATGATCATAGTACTAGAGTGTACAGTATGATCATAGTACTAGAGTGTACAGTATGATCATAGTACTAGAGTGTACAGTATGATCATAGTACTAGAGTGTACAATATGATCATAGTACTAGAGTGTACAGTATGATCATAGTACTAGAGTGTACAGTATGATCATAGTACTAGAGTGTACAGTATGATCATAGTACTAGAGTGTACAGTATGATCATGGTACTAGAGTGTACAGTATGATCATAGTACTAGAGTGTACAGTATGATCATAGTACTAGAGTGTACAGTATGATCATAGTACTAGAGTGTACAGTATGATCATAGTACTAGAGTGTACAGTATGATCATAGTACTAGAGTGTACAGTATGATCATAGTACTAGAGTGTACAGTATGATCATAGTACTAGAGTGTACAGTATGATCATAGTACTAGAGTGTACAGTATGATCATAGTACTAGAGTGTACAGTATGATCATAGTACTAGAGTGTGCAGTATGATCATAGTACTAGAGTGTTCAGTATGATCATAGTACTAGAGTGTGCAGTATGATCATAGTACTAGAGTGTACAGTATGATCATAGTACTAGAGTGTACAGTATGATCAAGGGTAACTAGACACGATCTCGAGCTGGTTGGGAGGACCCTCAAGACCTCGGCAGATCTTGAGGAGCTGAGGAGCATCGCCCAGAATCGCGGGGCGTGGACCTACCTCAGCGGCCGTATCCTGGAGAGATATGTTGCTGCTCACAGATGAACCCTGATAATGATCAGCAAGTTCAAATTCAACTCGGTTGAGCTGCTCGTTTGCTTGTTTTAATTGTATTCTATTTTCGTCACGCGTTTTATATCGCATATGTTTTATATCGCCATCAATATCCTGTTTGGCTGTTGTCGCTTCGGCTTATGCGAAAGCTATACATGCTGTGTATATCTACATTGCATTGATGCCAACGCGGAGAAGCTTCTAATAATAATATAGGACCTGATTTCAACTTTCATCAAAATGTGACGTTAAAGTTACTCAAAGAAAACGCGACCGCGATTGTGAAGGCAATGAAGTCAAAGACGAAGTCGATCTTGATTTTTTTTGTTTGCAGATTTGATCGATCAATCGATCGATTGTAGGTAGTCAGAATGGCGAGTAACGATGAAGGATTGAGTTTGTCGGTGTGCCGCATGAGGACGCGTCTCTCCTAGATGAGCACGACAAGATGTTCTACTGCGATGTCTCCCCGGGTACGATGACAGTGAACGCGATGATTGCCATGACGGAGACAACAACCCGATCGCACCTGCGGCAGAAAAGCGCCAGCTCCGTCCGTCTGACAATGACGAAGATGAGAGTTACAATAACTTGGAGCAGGAAGGTCCGCGTGTCGAGGAAACCCTAATTACCGCAGAGATAGTGGACTGGATGTCAATCGGATGCAGCTGCCCTGGTGACAATCACTTTGCTGCACTTGACAAGGACCTCTTGAAAATCTTGTCATGTCGCACCGCCAGCTGAAGCGCTGCTCTCGCCAAAGTCACGCCCACTCTTCAAAAAGTACGGACTGGATGAACTGGCTGCCTCAGTGACTGCGGGATTCGCAAACCCGGCAACAATTATGATACTGCATACATGTACATAGCCGAATTTCACAACTATAGTGCATTCTAGAATATGGAGAATTCAAGGTACTTGCAAGGCTATTGATTTGAAACTTTGTCACATGAAAGTCTACATACTAAAGACTTTAGGTACATTGTCCAAATAAAAAGGCAATTTCAAAAATTTCACCCCTAAGGTCCATTTACTGAGATCATGGCTCAATTGTTAATGGAGAGGTTTTGCATTCCGAATTTCGGAATTATTTTTGGAATTTGGCGGCAGGAGTCGAAAATGTAGTTGAACTTTCGGAAGTGTGGTGGCGAAAATGCATGGTTTTTCGAAAATGGATTTTCGGCTCTTTCCTGTTTGGGAGCGCATACACGTATTTGAATATTTTTCATGTGTGTATTTTTGTTTTCTGCTGCTCTCGCTGATTATAATTATTTGAAAATTTTCCACATGTGTAGTTTTGGTTTTTGCTGCTTTCGCTGATCTCGCCATGTTGACTAGATCTTCTCACACTCCATCACACTCTATCTTCCTTTGCCATGGAGCCTACTGACAGACAGTAGTTCGACAATCTCGTCTTCAGCCGTTGGATCACTCGGTCCACCATCAGTCCGTCCTCGTCTTCGAACCGAGCCCAGATTCAGTTTGACCTGCACATAGATTTGATCCTGCTCAGGCAACCCCTACATGTATTTTGTGCTCAACCCCTTTGTCCGCGGCTCTGTGGGATCCTAGGAGACTGCAAAAGTTCTAGCCTTGTCTGACCCAAAATTTGCTGGTATCACCAGGAAGTCCGTCAGAGAACACCATGAACACACGCTGCTTCTGTTAGACCAGCACGCCTCAAAACCGAATATGCGAGATTCGGTTGTAAAACGTTTTCGGTTTTGGCGCCTTCGACTCCCTGCATTTTGTTTTGCATGGCAACCCTTGGAAATCGAATCAGATTTTCGGAGTGCAAAACACTGAAAATGCCGTTTTTCGGCACGCACTTTTTTTCGGAAAAACACAGTCGAAAAACATTCCGAAATTCGGTATGCAAAACCTCTCTAGTAGAACCACCATCATAATAAAAAGCCGAACTGCCAGGTATGAAAGCTTTTTTTTCTTGGAAGAACAAACAAATCATGAAAAATTTCACTAATTATGTGATGGACAAAGAAGAAAAGGGGATAATAGTATAGCGGTTGGTGATGGACAATGATGGAAATTCAAAAAACCTAGTTATTGTACAGCCCTCATCAGGAAGAAAACATTGTTCTAAATAACACAAATTAGGCCGGAGGACTAATATTTTGAATTTCTTTTAGTGTGAGAAATAACGCCTGTATACAGGCTATCATCCGCACCCTGACACTCTCCTATCGCAACTCACTGCCTGACACTCTCCTATCTCAACTCACTGCCTGCACCTTCACTTCCTGTGTTGTACCCCTCTGTACTCTCATCCTACCTGTCCAATTGCCTATCAAGCCTGCTGCAACACTCTGTTCACCTCTTTGTTGACTGTATTCCTTGTTGTTGTGGAAATCAAATGTGTTTCTCTTCCAGGTCCTACATCAGGATGGGTCTTACGTGAAAACGATTGGTAACGGTGCTATCGGTGACTCGTTTGGTGTTGCAGCACTGTCTCTGCCCCAGCATGGTATTTGTTATGCTGTAACCGATTTCAATGACAGTTGTGTGAGAGTAAGTTCGTGCTTGTGTGGTGTTTATTGCTGAGATTTCTCAGAATTCTAATTTGATGGTTGCTATGATTAGCCCCAACATGGACTTTTTCTCTGTTCTCACAGCAGAGCAAGTAAATAGGTACAGCATTTGTTTCGTATCTGTACATGTGGTGCGAAAGGTGCCATATATTTTTCTAAAACTCCTCCTTTTCCCAACACAACACCAGCACAACACAAAAACCTCTAGGAGAAAAAATATGTAGTACAGATAATGCAAGTTAGCAGTGAAGAGAGAAAGAGAAGAACAAGAGGAAGAACAAAATCACCAGCACTTAGTCCAGGAAAAGACACATGGAATAAGGCATACAAAAGGGCGGCAGAACAACCAGTAATATCTCGTCGTGGCTGAAGCAGCTAATGCAACGACAGCCACCACGAAGTGCATGAAATAGATCTGAACATGAAGTGAAGAAAACAGCAACTCCAACAAAGAAACAAAACAAGATCAGCTACGTGACTAACGTGAGCGTAAACAGCATTCTGCATTGATATTCACCATCATCATTGTGCTCTGTAGCCGATGATACACATCTACTCACTTGCCCAATACAGGGCACAAGAGGTTCCATCGAGCATTGAAGTTTTATTCCTCCTGGCAGATGTTTTGGTCACTGAGACTTCATCAGAGAAGGTTGAGTTGTTGAATGACTGGAAGAGCAACAATCACCTAGTTTATACTGACTCTTCCATGACTGTATGTACGTGACCTAAACGATACACGCGCTCGAAGAGAGAGCCGATGGTGCAGTGTAGATAGGGAGAGCATGGGGTTGATGCCAGGTGAACTACAAGTACTAGCATGACTGCTGTATCCGTGCTGTGTTGCAGTATCCGGCAGTAACTATCACCTCTTTGCAGAGTGTCCCATGATTTCAGAAACCGGTTAACATTTTAACACCTTGCATTCACACTTCGAGTATCAAGTGCACGCTCATCAGCGCACTATCTCTCATTTCAAGTGCCAATATAACATATTTTAAAGAGTGGACGGTTCGACGGACATCTCGTGCACTATAGATGGCAGTAGTGAGTTAGGCAATTGAGAATTCAAGTTGGCAGGGAAATTGCGAGCTCCCATGTAAGGAGCAACACACATTTACCCAAGTATCAATTAAGTCACACCAACATCTTCTTCACAGTATAAACTAGGCGACTATTTCTTTTCCAGTCATTCAACAACTCAAATTTCTCTGACGAGGCCTTAATGATTGAAGCAATTGTCAGAAGGAGGAAAACTTCACTGCTGGAAGGAGTCTCTTGTTGCTGTTGTGTGCAAGCGAGTGCATGTATGTGGTCGTCCACAGAGTGTAATAATGGTGGTAAAATATAAATGTCAACGCAGCTACCTGACTATCCACAACAAAGACATAAGCAATGACATCATCAGTCACGCTCGAATTCCGCATGCAGTCTTGCAGGCGCTGGTAAAATGGATAACACGGAAAGCATGAAAATTTATAACACAACAAGCGATCGTGGCAGGGAAACAAATAAAATTCAAATAAACTATTTCAAAGAATGATGGAAAGTGAAACGACTAGCACTAAAATGAGAACAGAACTCAGAACAAGAACAATGTAGGCCAAGTGGAAGCAGATAAGGATTAGTCTGGCCATGCCTAAAGTGATCATGGGTCATATAAAATCTTGTAGGACGCATCACGCAGCTTCATAAGTAAAAAAATGGTTGTGAGCAACACTGGCTCACAACCAATATTTTATGGGTCATATAGTTAGTCAATCATACACCACTGGAACAACGGCCAAAACCTCATACCCGGTATGAGTTTGGCTGTGAGGTTGTATCGAAACCACGGAGTAGAAAAACAACGGTTTTACATTCGAAATGGTTCATTGACCCAGTTATTAAATGCAATTGAAGCCTGCAGAAGTCACATCTTGAACAGTCAGACGAGCATATATGCACGACTGTTCAAACGCCGAGTTTGGGTAGACAGCCACTGCTGGCAGGGACATTTTGGCAGAACAAGCAAAAACAGTAACTTCCCGGGTACGACGGGCTTTTCGAGTGCTCCAGACGCAGTCGTGATTCGGTTAAGTGTCAGGCCAGTCGACAGGAAGCGCGAGCTCCGACATTGGGAGAATGCAGTTTCTTCACAAATGTACCGCTGACTCATTGTCGTAACATCTTAGCTCGACTTCCTACACACTCCTCAAAACATTTCCTACCACTCCTCAATGGCTCAAAGCCTTCTAAACACTCTCTGACTAACGCTTTAGTGCTCGGGATCAGCTATCAGTTGATCGACAGTTTTTTTCCATTTTCGATGTGATGTTTCCAAGAAAAAAATATCTGGGCCAAAAAGTCGGTCCGGCCATGGCTGGATCTTACAGACCAGTTCCGCCTGCCGTTAAATTGCAGCAGACTACGGATGACGCTGCATTGAAGTAAGAGGCATGACACACTCATGATAAATGGCATCACAACAAATACTTCCTCCTTTAAGCAAAACTTCGTTGCGTTTTTACAGTTCAGTCCGAATCATTCTATGGCTATGAACACGCTTTGCAAAGTGGAAAACAATTCAGCATATGAACGATATTTACTTGCAGATGTCACACCGCTCGTTTAAGAGCAGTCCAGCTTCACTCTTCGTCTCAATCTGATGACAACTCACTCCCTGATGACATTGAGTCTGCATCCTCTCTGACTTTCGCCGCCAGCGCTGCCATCTTTTGTTCCGCAGCCTTTACAAGTTTCCCAGACACGATTATTTTGATCGTGGAGATCGCCAAGCTCTTCGCTCGAAATGTGAGCTTGACAACCTCAACGGTGGCACTGGTAGTTGTGGCCACTCTCCGGAACGCCATGAAAGGAGCCATACAGACCCAAACAAACGCTCACCATCTTCACAGCTGTGTAGTCGTGCCAGCACGTTTCCACACCCTGCAGAAGCTCCTTTCTGGTTTCTTTCGCCACGAGTGACACGTCTGTCTACAGGCTGTGGAAGAACGCCAAGCCGTAGACGTTGAGATCAGGATTTTGTGCCGACTGAACAACAACCTGAATGTCGAATGCTTTTGATTTCCCCTGCGCTGCGAACACAAGTGCATTGATTTTGGCTGTGTGCGGATGCGCACCATCGACTCAGCCTGAGCGCTGGCCGGCTCCTGGACACTTCTTCGAGCCACCCGGTCTTTCAAACTGTTTCTCATTTTCGCACTTTGGTGTCATGCGCGCTTGCCTGGGGTTGTGTTCTGGTGACATCCTGTCGAGAAACGGTTCTGGTTCGCCCCAAAGGACTCCACGCTTTTCGGAGGTTCAAAAGATTGTCAGAACAATGGACGACAACCGTCAGCTTACCTATGTAGGGGATAGACCACTGACATGTATGTCTAATGTCGACAGAAATTTCATTACAAGAACACTAAAAACGCAACGAAGTTTTGCTAAGCGGAGGAAGTACATATCATAATATTAGTTTCTACACATATTGACATTGTATTGTCAGAAACAGTCAGAAGAATGCTGATAGCTCTAGTGACATCCAACATCCGGATATTTAGCTCATCATCACGTGTATGAAACTATTTCTGTAATGATCAACTATCACCTGCCAAATTTCCAATTTCATTCAAGTTGGATCTCTTTTTCACTGGTTGGCCTACATGACCCTCTATGATATTTTCGCAGAGGGACCCTCCGTTCATTGGATATTGGACAAAGTCAAATATCTGCCTAAAGTATGCACTGAAACAAGGAACAAAAATTAATGACTTGCACAAAGATCTGAGCCGTGAGTGAGACAGAGCAACTCTCACCTAGCTCAGTGCACCCAGCATGCAGCAGTTATTGTGCCTGTTAACATCGATGGACACGAGTCATAAAGTACAGTCCATGTGGCTTTACTTTTCTGAACTTTCTACTAGTTCTTCTCAATTTAAGTGGTATCACGCTCCAGTCCGGGATGAAGACCAAAAAATCAGCCATAGTTTTGCTATTGTTGATAAGGAAGAGGAGTCATACTCGCAGACACAACGAACAATGAACAAAGAACAACGGGAATGGGTAGTTGGGAAGACATTTATTATAGATGAAGAGACGGTGACAAAGACGAACGAAGCAACTACATTACGAAAGAGAGAGAGCGAGATCGAGTGAGTGCGGCAATATGAAGGCCATGTGTAGCTATGGCAAACATGGGCGCGCAAGTAGCTACCCAGGTCAACGGAACAAAAGTTGACAAGAGGAGAAAGGTGAGTACGAGTGTGCATGCAGGTCAGCTTGGAAAAGGTTGTAGAACATACGGGAGGATGTACCTAACACAATTCTAAATGGAACAACAGTAAAGGATAAAACAGTGTAGTATCCCTGCCCGACCAATACGGAAGCAGTACGGAACTAATACGGAGCTTGCCTGATGTATATTTAGTGTATCTCCGTATGTAAGCGTACGTCGTCTGCTGCATAAAAGCGGCTGCGCATTTCTGTTTTGATGAAGATTAGATTAGATAGCAACGAAAGCTAACTCGAAGATGAGATTTTGATAATAACGAGCTATTCAACCTCCAGGTGTGCACCGGAGAGAAAGTCAGTTATTTTGCCGCTTCTTCTTTCACCAATAATTATATCTCAGGTGTGTACCTGAAAGTAGAATAAAAGTAATTGTTGTTGATTTCACCGCGCCTACCACTCGGCTACCCATTACATTGGTGGCAGCGGTGTAGTTTTAAATAAAACAACGTGATTCGACCCCAGACTCCGATGGCTCAACCCGCTACAGCTCTGTGCGACGAATCAAGATGAGAATCATGTGTCTTGCCTTCCTCGGCCTGGCACTGCTTATTGGCCTGCAGCAGAGTCAGGGTGCAAGTGTGGATCACCCTTCTCTCCGCACGGCACTCACTGGAGACTCCGATGGCGATTCCAAGCGACCCGCTACCTACATGTATACTACCGGTGGTGATGGCGAAGCTGATGAGGACGACGACATGCAGG